TATATATATATATATATATATATATTTCATGAAACCAGACGAAAAGTATAGATTGTCAATTTTCAATGGATGCCATTGAAATTCGTATCATAGTCTGCCATATGATTCACGAAGTGAGTACTACCAACATATAAGAGAAAATGTTCTGGGCGTTAATGATAAAAACCCAACTTCAATATCCGTGGCAATTCTGCAATGACAAATTTCCTTTCTATTGATAACCGAACACACATATATATATATATAGAGAGAGAGAGAGAGAAATAGAGAGAGAGAGAATTGTGAGTCCATCAAAGGCTCAACTCTCTTTTAATGTCTGAACGATGAATGGATTTCATTTGAACCCAGGATATAGAGTACATAGAGTAGTGCTAGAAAGTGATCCATAAAAGTATTTAAGGCATTTTTAAAAAGACATTCATAAAAAACTCTAAATTCAGAAATCAAATAGTGAAAAGAAAATGATTCCTTATGCCGTTAGCAGTAATTAATGTCCCGATAATTCATTTTCTATTTTCAGTAAAGTCATTTTTGTATTACGATTTTATATTTTGAGATGAAAAATTTTTAACTTATGGATGACTTTTAACGGAGAGTGATAAGTTTATTAGATGCTCAGAAAAGAAGTAATTGATGCACAACGACACTAAGTAATGGTAATGAGTTTGATGCAATTCGAACATAATAATTTAAAAATCCAGAATTACATATTATATACTTCAAAAGTACTTCAAACCGGGGTTCTACTATTTTTTTAAAAAAATTTGTGAGTGAAATATTCTTATAGAAGAATGAATTAGAGTTATATTTAGTCACTATTTTTTACATTATCATAATTTCTCTTTACAGAAAATAATTATTTTTACGGACGTTAAATTTTTTCAAAAATTAGTGCGGCATATTATCTTCTAAAATTGCCTTTGAAATGAAAAATAAAGATTTTATAATTTCCAAACAATTTATTTAATTTAATGATTTTTTAACAGTTTACTTGTCTCGTATATACATTTTCCATATATTATTTTTTTAGTTTACAATTTTTTCTTCAAAAATCTTGTTCGGATTTTTAGGTGAAACAAAAATAAAAGGTTACGAACTTTCATAAAAACTTAAATGGAAAAATCCATTAATTTTACGTCCCTATCAGGGCCGGATTTACCACGGGGCCAGCGGGGCCATGGCCCCAGGGCCTCCACCATTTAGGGCCTCCACCAAATCAAATACTTTCAAAATTTAAATTTATTTTTTCTCTGTTTGTAGAATATTTTTTACTCAAAAGTCATGACTTCATTTACATTTTGAGAAATTACTGTTTCTGAAATTCGTCAACCTTCGATCGTCGCGCTCACGGTGGTCATTTTTGGCATCATATGTTTATTCGAAATCAAACCCTACTCCCACCACTACAGTTTCTAGACCTGACTATTTATAAACAAAGTTACAGACTGACATTATAATATTATCTCAAGGTATTTTCTTTTTAATGAGATTTACATTCGGTTTTTAAAATGTTATTTTAATTGTGAGAGAATTTCTCGATGCAGAGTGATTGTAAGTGAAAAGCTTGCAGTATTTGCAGGTGTTTGAATTTTAATTATTTTTGTAGAGAAAACACAGTAAGTATTGTACATAAACTAAAATGTCAATGATTATCAGTTAGTTTTTAATTGCTATATTTAAATTTATTCTTTCTATAATTTATAGAACAAATTAAAATGTTCAATCGAAATGAAGATCGCCATAGAACTCCGCGAAGTTTTCCAAGTGGCGCTCAAAAAAGAAAAATTGCTGCTGAAAAAGAAAAAAATTTTGAGCATTCACTTTCTAAAACTCCGAAAATAAGCAATTATTTTATTTCTTATCAAAACTCTGAAGCTATAAAAACCGAACAACCAGTTAGTCCTTCAAGTTTAGCCATTTCAGAATTTGCTGAATGTGAATCAAAAATTTCTGCCATTGACATTGCCTGCGTTAATTCAGAAGCTGTATGTAATGAAAAACCAAATATTTCTTCATCAGATATTTTAGAATTTGGTGAAGTTGAATCGAAAACCGACACCGCAGTGCATTTAGAGGAGACATTAGAAAATCCTAATTTTCTGACTGATATCGGACTTTGGGTACAACCTTACTCCGATGATATGATCGACTTCTGGATAAAAAAAGGTCCAACTGAATTACAAAACAGCGACGAAAAAATCCTCTCTAAATTTTCTTCTACTCAGATAAGGCAAAATGTGAGTGAGAGTACAAGAAAGTGCACACCAAGCCTTTTTCATCGAATCAATCAAAACAAAGAAGTAGTCAATCGGTTTTGGTTATGTTTTTCACCATCTACTGGAAAAATATATTGTTTTTTGTGTAAATTGTTAGCAACTTCACCGAATGTAGCACTAAGTCAAGAAGGGTACTGCGATTGGAAACATGCATCAGAACGTGTATGTCAACATGAAATATCGAAGAATCATTTGAACTCGGTTACAGCTTTTTCATCACGTTACAATGAAACAACTTGCATTGATAGCAAAATAAAAGAACAGGTAAGTTTTAATTTAAAAAAATTAAGTGTACAGGCTTTTTATTTATTGACTATAATCTGCTTGTTTTCATTACAAATTTGAATTATTATTTAAATATAATACTTGTATAAGCGTATTGACATGAAAATCTAAATAATCAGAAATTCGGAAACAATAAGAAATTAATATTTTTAGTTCTGTATTAAAATACCATTTTTTTTCGTGAAATATTTTAAGTTACTAATAACAATAATTTGATTTAGGCCACTGAAGTAGCTCGATATTGGAGAGAAGTTCTTAAAAGAGTTGTAGGCACCGTTAAATTTCTTGTTGAACGTGGACTAGCTTTTCGAGGTCTCGATGAAATTATTGGCTCGCCAAACAATGGAAATTTTCTGGGAATTATGGAGTTAATTGCTCAATTTGATCCTTTTCTTGCGACTCATATGGAAAAATATGGAAACAAGGGAAGTGGTCACACAAGTTATTTGTCGTCAACAGTAGTAGAAGAACTAATTTTTCTTATGGGAAAAGAAGTATTGCGCGAAATAGTTTCCCGCATAAAAAAAGCGAAATACTATTCTGTATCAGTTGATTCTACGGTTGATGAAGGACACATTGATCAGTTGACTGTGGTCATAAGATACATGGAAAATTTGAATCCAGTAGAACGGTTTTTAACCTTTATTCCGAATGTTGGCCACCAAGGCAAAGATATGGCCCAAGCTCTTCTTGGATTTTTAAGTAAATATGATTTAGACATAATGGATTGTCGAAGTCAGTCTTATGATAATGCACCAAATATGAGTGGCAAATACAAAGGTATGCAGGCTTTGATAAAAGAGGAAAATCCTTTGGCTGAACATCTTCCATGCTTTGGGCACTCAACGAATTTAATAGGAAAATCAGCTGCCAATGCATGTCCTGCTGCCGTTCATTTCTTTGACTTTGTCCAAGAACTTTGTGTATTTTTTACTAATTCAACAGCGAGATATAAAATCTTAATTGAAAAATTATCTGCCGCGACACCAAGAGGAAACTTCTATACTTTAAAAAAGCTAAGCGATACTCGTTGGTCGTATCGCGCAGATGCCACTAAAGCTCTGGTTCATGGGTACAAACCTATTCAAGATGCATTAGATGAAATTTACAACGACGTTGAACAAAAAAGTATTGTGAGAAACGAAGCTTTTGGTCTTTTACAAAAAATGGCTAAACTAGAAACTGCAATTTATACTAAATTTTGGCATGACATGCTTGAAAGGTTCAATTCAACAAATGAAATTTTACAAAGTTCCACAATGATTCTTTGCACAGCTGTTAACTGCCTCAAGTCATTAAAAACATTTGTTGAATCGAAAAGAGACGCATTTGAAACGTATGAAGTTGCGGGCAAAGAATTATCTAATGTTCAAGAGTATGAAATTGTACGTGTAAGGAGACGAAATGTGACTCGCAGACCTCTTGACTGTGTACAAGCACCTTCGGTTCAATTATTGCCTAGAGATAAATTTCGAACAGAGAGTTTTCTTCCGGTTTTTGATCAATTAGTCTCGTCATTAACTGAACGAATAGCAGCTTATGAGGTTATCTATGAAAGATTTGGGTTTTTAGCCGAATTGAGTACTATAGAATCTGCCGAGTTAGAAAGAAAAGCAAATAATCTTGTAGATGTCTATCCTGAAGATCTAGATGGGAATCTAGCAAACGAACTTTTACACCTTGTGGCTTTTTCTAAACAATACGAAAAAAGAGAAAACGAGTCTGTAGAATTTTTTTTCTATCGCTTGATTTTAGAAAACAATTTGAAATCAACATTTTGCAATGCAGAAATAGCTCTTCGAATATATTTTACTTTAATGGTAACTAATTGTAGTGGAGAAAGATCATTTTCTAAGATGAAAATAGTAAAAAATAGATTTCGAACTAGCATGGGACAAAATCGTTTGGAAAATTTAACGCTTCTCAGCTTAGAAAATGATATTCTTCGCAACTTAAGTTTTGATGGTATCATAAATGACTTTGCAAATGCAAAATCACGCAAAACTCAGATTTAATATTATAAGTTAAAAAAAGTATCCGGAAAACTTTAATATTTTATTAAATGTATGTATTTTTAATATTGAAAAAATAAAAGCTTATATTATTTGCTAAAAAAGAATTATTATTTTTATGTTTTGTTTCATATTGAAAAAAAATTTGCACTCATAGGGCCTCCACCTGACTCTGGCCCCAGGGCCTCCACAATCCTAAATTCGGCCCTGGTCCCTATAAATATACTCTCACAATGGTCTTGAATGAACTTTTTACCAAAAAATTACTTAGCGATAAAGGACTTTTTAGATTTTACTTTTATATTATATTTACATATTTCCAGTAATTTAAGACTAAAATGAAAAAAAAATCGACAAGTAGAAATCATATTAATTAATTTATGACTTGTTTAACTAAATTAAGATTAAAAAAAAAAAATTTTCTCACCTAAACTAGCGTCATATGTGTTTATATATTCGCTGGTCATAAATTGTGAAACCAAAGCTGTTTTTCCAACTCCTGAATCACCAAGTAGTACAACTCTATACTTTGTACCTTCCTCTATATCACTCTCTGTGCTGTCGCCAGCTAAACCTTGTCCACTGCAGCACGAGCCTTCGAAAGGTGATCTTTCACCTGATACATTGCTATTTCTGAAAAAGAAAAATAGTAACGTTTTCAATTTATTTTTTAACAAAAAAAATCGGTAATTACATCACAGAGAAAAATGGGATCGTTGAGCAAACAATTTTTGGATTGTTGTCAGTAAATTTGTTGATATTCAAAATGTTAATATTACAATTCGTATTGTTGTCAATACAAATGTACGTTGTTTTAAAAACAATACGAATTTTTTGTTGTCAGTTTGCAGTTCCGTACAGTTGCAGAAGCAAACTCTCTGCCGATTGCTGATGGAACAATCCAAATTTGTTCGGCTGACATGTTTATTGTTCCATGTCACGTGGTCATCTTGAATTCTCGCAAACTGGCGTGCAGATCGTCGCGTCCTTTGCTTCTGGCACATGTGCCACTTTTGCTTTTATTATTAGTTTTTTTTAAATGACAAAGTGCTGTTAAATAATGAATCCGATTAAAGAGAGAAATCTATTGCAAGTGTGGTGAATGGATGAAGAGACAATTTCATCGTTTATCGGTAAGTTATGCACGGTTACTATTAAACATAACCTCACCTTAAAAAATACAAAATGTATATTAAATATTATTTAACAACAAATTTCAACTCAAAATAATTTTTTGGTTTCAGGTCAAAGAATTTGATTCAGAAGCTGCATGTTCCACAGATTTTAATGCAAATGAAACTGGTGATATGACCTACGAAAATCTGCTATCGATTATTTTAGAAGGCGAAGAAACTGAACAAATTGTATTAGACGGATTAATAAAACAAATTGTTTTGCCGATTTAACAATTTAGTTTTGTTATTTCAACTGTTCCATAACAATTTTCTTTGTTCATCAAACAATTCTGTTTGTTCACCGAACAATTCCATTTTAACAATTTTTTTTGTCTCAACAACAAATAATAGAACTGCTGGTTCTATATTGACAATCCGGAATTGTTGTGTGGACTTAATTTTTAGTAACCACAACAATTCTTTTTTTTCCGTGCACTTTTTCAACAAAAAAAAAACCACTGAAAATTTCTATTAATTTTTTTTTCATTAACTAAAACTTTAAAAATAGAAAGTACTTGATGATTTAATATTTAAATGCTATATGTTGAAATGCATCACGTTTAGTTGCATATGTAGCCAGCACGTGATTAAACGATTCACCATGTTATGAATACATATTCTACACTATCTATCAAAGCATATCCATATATTAAAATTCGGAACGATGCAAACATTATGTAACTAATTTAACAATTATTTAAATACTTTTTAAAAATTTGATATTCAACTTTTGAACAATTAATATTTGAAACAGACATATTTTACATGTATATAGAAAATTTGATGGGCATATATATAAATTAAACAAACTTGATATTCGAATCATGTGTAGTAGATATATATATATATAAGTCCAGCTTTGGCGTTTTCATCTGCTTTTGAATTAAGGAAGCTTAAATCCCTTAAGCCTCTGTATCAACCGAGTCCGTTATATAATTAAACAAAAACCTTTGAAACTTAAGCTCATACCTTCATATCAGGGATCAAATCTACTCGTATAGATGTGAAATTACATTTCATAACAAATATATTATTAACTTTAATTAATAATAATAATAATTACAATATAACATTTGTCATGAAAAATCCTATATAAGCCCTGGAAAAAGGAACATTTTTCACAATTTTTATATATGAGCAATTACATGGGAAGTGATCATAAGAATTTTTGATGATCGGAGCAAATTTTAATGAAACCTTTTAAATATGTCATTTTTTATGGTGTAGAATGAAAGCCCACAAACAATTTTTCTAAATTTTCAAAAAATTTTTGAAATGTCACTAATTTGTCACTTTTTAAAAAATAAAATTTTACCAGGAGGTTTTTGAGGCGCTGATTACGAATCTGAAGTCTGATTTCAAAAATTCAAAATGGCAGATCCAAAATGGTGACTAAAAAAATTTTTTAATTTCATTAGATTCACTAGAAACTTATTAGACGGGGATTTTTGGGATAACTGAATCTAAATTTGAGGTAAAATCTTAAATTTAAACAAATTTTGAGCGAATTCGAACAAATTTAAAATTTAAAAAAATTTAATAAAAATTAGGTAGGTAATTGTTTACATTGTATTTTATTTATAATTTTAAAAATAATATCATTATTTTTAAAAACTTAAATAAATTTACGCAGTAGAATCTCTGGTTGATGTCAACAATTCACAACATAGATGACAAAGTTTGAAGACTAAAGTTTAGAATGTAGTTAAAGCACTTGCTCGCACTGCATAAAGTGAGCTTAGTTGCATTCAATGCGAGTTTAAAATGTACGATGGATATTGTTTAAATTTCATTAGACCAAAATTACTATGTACCTATCTGATTTTTCTGTATTTGAAAATAATAATTTTTTTTTCTATCAAGTAGTGGTGACTATATTCGTCCAGAAAATAAAAAAAGAATAAATGATTTAAATAAACTATTTATTAGATGTAAAAATTTAAAAATAATGTAGTTATTTTGTTATCATAGACAGAAGGTAGTACAGTCTTAATTAGGTAAAAAGTATTAGTAAAAAGAAATGTTAGGCATAAAAGATCTGTCACGGTGCGCCAGAAGGAGGTTTAAATAAAAATGAATTGGCACTTAAAAATTCTTTTTGATTATGGTTCTAAGATGAATAAAAAACTTTTCTCAATAGGTTTTAAAATCAGCTTACGTGCCCAATTTAAAACAAATTGAGTTTTAAATATTTAAAAATAGTGTTTTATGAGGAACCAGAATTTATTTAATGTATACTTATATGCGTATAGATAATAGATGTTTTAGATTTGGGTTCATATAAATTTATTAACAATGAAGTTATTTTCTTGTTTCGTTTTTATATTTATGCATTAAGAGTGTCGAACGGTATCTGAAATTCTTTGGCAAGAAGAGAGCTTAAATTATCGCTCTGAACGTGAAATAGTATTGATTTTAAAATACTTTTTTCTCGAAACACGAAAACTTTTAACAAAATCAGCCAAAATCCTCATCTTATAAATTTCCTAAATCCAAAAGACTGTACGAATCCATAGAAAAACAGGGTTGCAAAACAAAAAGTAGAAAAGTAATCTAATAACAGCTGCGACTTTGTACGCCCTGCATGCTGCTGCCATCTGACGGCGGCAGGAGGTAATGAACCCCTCATTATATTACTTTTCGTTTTGCAATCGTGTTTTTGTATGGATTCGTATAATCTTTAGGATTTAGGAAATTTATATAAGATAAGGATCTCTAGCTGCTTTTGTAAAAAGTGTCCATCTTTCGAGAAGAAAGTATTTTAAAATCAATGTTTATCATTTTCACGTTCAGTGCCGTTTTTATAGAGCGATAATTAAAGGTCTCTTCTTGCCAAAAAATTTCAGAGACCATTCGACTCTCTTAAATAAATTTTGTCACTCTTAAAATTGTTCTTTTAACATTATAATTTAATTTTTTAAAATTGGATACAAACACTACAGCAATATAATTATTTATATGTAAAATTGAAAATAAGCAATTATTGTATCATTTATTACAGTATTTATTAGATTAAATAAATTCTGATTCCCCATAAAACACTGTTTTTATATAAAAACTCAATTTTATTTAAATCGGGCACGTAAACTGATTTTAAAAACTATTGAGAAATGTTTGTTATTCATCTAAGAATCATAATCAAAAAGAATTTTTAAGTGCCAATTCATTTTTATTTAAAGCACCTTCTGGCGCACCGTGCTGAAAGTGGTGCGTGGTGAGAGTACGTACCTCGCGTTCCAAAGGTCCTGGGTTCGATTCCCAATGCGTTCGAGATTTTTCAAAATTATACTCAAGTGTTTTATATACTGTATACGTAATAATCTTAAATAGAAAATAAGTTAGGATTAAAAAATTGTATAAACTGTCTTTATTAAAAATATAATCTAACATCAAGTAGCACGTAATATTACAGCAATATTACCCGGTAACATTACTGTAATATTACAGTGATATTAAAATGTCCGCCTCATGGTAATATTACCGGATAATGTTACTGTAATATTACACGGTAATATTAAGACATTATTATTGTAATATTACAGTAACATTACAGTAATATTATACCGTAATATTAATATTATTATTATCTCGTAATACACGAGAATATTGCAGTAATATTAGAAGAATATTATTTCACGAAAAAAATGTACCCAACCGGGGAATCGAACCCCGAACTCAAGGCACACAAGTCGAGAGTTTTACACAGTAAAAACAAAATCTTCTTTTAAGCTTATAAGTTGTCTTTTTTCAAGATGTAAACGGAAGTAGATCATATTGACTGAAAATCAGTACACAAAAAATGTTTAAAAAGAATACCCTTATCTTACTATAAGTAAGATGTCATACGAGCTGAAATTTAGCTCTAAGCTTGTTGAAGAACTGAAATTCAGTTAGGTTTTAGACTATCATTTAGTCTTATGTTAAAAGAGGGCTGAAATTAAGCTTCCTTACAGACTGTCTTTCAGCGTTAACCTGGTGTGATAATAATCCTAAATTATGACTTAAAAGCATATTAGAATTTTGATATATATATATATATTTATATTACTTATAACAATTTTTTCTAATTTATAAATTTGCATTATTTAAATGAAAATGACGAGGAACTTTTATATTTAAAAAAATCTTGTCATTTTCATTTTCAATTCTGCAAACTAAATTTAAAAAATAACATTATACGTAATATATATATAAAGTTAGGAATTAACAGTTTAGAATAATTTAAGCTCTTCCAACAAGTTCCACACAGTTTTGTACTTTTGGTAATATTTAGCGACTTTTTTTCTAAATAGTATAGCTGAGACAAAGGTGAAAGATATGCGTGCTTTGCTGGAATATCCGATATTAAAAACCCAGTAAAAAAACCCATTCTTGTGAATTATAAATGAATAAAACCAAAATTAAAACACGAGAAAATCATTTCTCAACCACGCTTCACTGTACGCGTACGCTATGGCGTTTTCACAACAGACGTTTTGCCTGTGACGTCACAACTACCACTTTAAGACTCGGCGGACTGACACCCAGCTCAAGTAAAGACTTTTAAAAAGTCACTGTCGTCTTTTTTTTACTTAAGACCAGTGAATTAAAAATCAGTCGAATTATAAGCTTATTTATAGTAAGAGAACCACTAACTCTTATTTTAAGCTAATTTTCATTATTAAATAAAGTTTCTTGCTTAAAATAAGTTAAAAATTAAAGTAAGCTTACATTCGGTTTCAGATTTTGTTTTTACTGTGTACCAACAAGCCACACTGAATTACAATATATTTAT